TTGGTTGAATAGATTACCCTTTCCACCTCCACCTGCTTCGAAGACGTCGCCCCTTGGTCTACTCGTCGTGGTCTTTGGCGTGTTGAGGTTCGTTGCAACTAGCCGTGCAGCCATTTTCGAGACTGGGGTTACCGGTGCTGCCATCGCTCTTCGCTGGAGTTCAGCTATTTTGTCGTCTCGTTCTTTGTCTTTCTCCTGCTTCTCCTTTGCCTCCTTCACGTCCTCGCGGAGTTTGGCTCTGTCGACATCCTTGATAGCCTTCGTGAAGTCAATCCAATCTTTCGGCTCTCGCGGCAGGTGCTTTCGCAGAGCTTCTGGTATCGCATCTCTGACCTGATAGATATAGCTTGACGTGCTCTCCACGCCCGCTTTCCGCGCTAATTCTAGCAGCTTTTGCGCGTATTTGACGTGTGTCGCCACTTCCTGACCTGCCACTTCCACCGTTCCCCCGAGTTCGCTGAGCGTAAGCTTTAGCCCCACGAGTTTCTCTTGATATTCTTGTTTTGTTGGCTCTGCTTCTTCATCGGTGGGGAACTGCGCCAAGAATTCTTTAGTGAAGTCGGCGAACTTGGTGATGGGGTTGTGCTTTTGGCGTTCAGTCCACCACTTTGCAGCTGGGGTACGCGTGGGGAAGTGGTCTCCCACCGCATCTAGTCGTTCGGCGTCTGTGTCTCGCTTGAGGTCTCTACTGCGAATTCTGAACTTCCTGATGAACTCTTCAGAATTGACCTTGTTTCTTTCATCCTTTTCGTCTCCGTGGAACGCGGGTACAGTGTTGTTTTCGGCCATCGCTACCGTGTGAATGCTTCTCTGCTGGGTTGTCTGTATGATGCTCGCGTTGTTTGGTATCGGTGCCGGTGATGTGGGCGGTGTGATTGTTGTTTGTCTAGATTGCTGCGTTACTGACGAAGTCGGCGGTGTTGTTTGGGGGCTTGGACTCTCTTCTGCTTGCTTTCTTCTCTGCTCTTCGCTTTTTCTGAACTGCACGACCCAATCCAGGGTCGGTGTCGGCGATGTTTTCACGAATCTTCCTTTCTCGTCTCTGCTTCTCTGGCTGGCCAGTTTCTCCTTTCTACTCTGCTCTGCTTGCTTGTTGGCTTCGGATACCGCTCTCGTCACCACGTTGTGGTAGGCACTCTGGACCGCGTGTGGTAGCTAGCAATGATGATACTGATGATGGTGACATGTGACACGATGTGACTACCGGCCCGGGCCCGCTCTCCCATCACAGCGCCGCGCACCCTGTCGAGATTTGGACTGACCATAAGAATTTGGAGTACTTCAGGAAGACGCAGCACCTCAACCGGAGACAGGCCCGGTGGTCTCTGTACCTCTCTCGGTTCGACTTCACGCTGCAACACAAGCCTGGCCGCGATATGGGTCGGCCTGACGCCCTCTCCCGGAGACCCGACCACGGAGTCGATTCCGACAACTCCGATGTCGTCCTTCTGCGGCCTGAACTCTTCCACGTCCGCGCACTCGAGGGCGTTTCCGTTTCCGGTCCCGGCTCTGAACTCCTCCGCGACATCCGTGATGCCCTCTCCGGTGAGCCTGACCTGGAGGAGCCCGTCGCACTAGCGGCCCGGCAACTTCTTAAGGTTCAAGGTCAAGCTCGAGGCCCCCGCTCCTCACGTTCTGACGAGTGGGCCGTCTCCGGCGGTCTTCTCCATTTCCGAGGAAAGATCGTCGTACCAAAGGACAAGGACCTCCGGAGACGCATCATCGAGCTCTGCCATGACACCCGAGTCGCCGGACACGCAGGTCGTTTCAAGACCCTGGAGTTGGTCTCCCGGAACTACTGGTGGCCTCAGATGTCTCGCCATATCGGCCGGTATGTCGCGACCTGTGACTTGTGCTGTCGCACCAAGGCACTCCGAAGACTGCCCCACGGAGAGCTGCACCCCACGGAAACGCCCCGAACGCTGGCATACCGTCTCCGTCGACTTCATCGTAGAGCTTCCCGAAGCCCATGGGTACGACGCGATCATGGTCGTCGTTGACACCCTCGGAAAGCGCCCCACTTCGGAGTGTCATACGACGGTCGATGCAGTAGGGGCAGCCCGCCTCTACTACCGGAATGTCTGGCGGCACCATGGGACTCCGGAGAAGTACGTCTCCGACCGCGGCTCGCAGTTCATCGCGGACTTCACCCGAGAACTTTGGCGTCTAATCGGCATCAAGCCCGCCACGTCCACGGCATACCACCCGCAGACAGACGGTCAGACAGAGCGCGTCAACCAGGAGCTGGAGCAGTACTTGCGGATCTTCACCAACTACCAGCAGGACGACTGGGATGAGCTGATTCCGGCCGCGGAGTTCGCCTACAACAACCATGTTCACTCCTCCACGCAGCAGGTCCCCTTCATGACGGACACGGGACGGCTCCCGCGCATGGGCTTCGAACCCGGAGTCCGTTCCGCCATGGAGTCAGTGAACGAGTTCCGCGACCGGATCGCCACTGGTGTTGCTGAAGCCAAGGCCGCGCTCACTAAGGCCAAAGAGGAGTACAAGCGCTACTACGACCGGAGACGGACTCCGTCTCCGGAGTTTAAGGTTGGCGACCGTGTTTGGCTGGATGCCTCTGACATCAGGACGACTCGCCCCTCGGAAAAGTTCTCCCATCGCCGCCTTGGACCGTTCAAGATAGTCCAGGAGATCAGCAAAGGTGCCTACAAGCTCGACCTCCCTCCGCGCTACTCGAAGCTCCACCCGGTCTTCCCCGTCGTCAAGCTCGAGCTCGCTCAGGACGACCCCCTTCGACGGACGCCCCGGCTACGACCAGCCCCCTCCGGACCTCGAGGACGGAGTCCCGGAGTGGGAAGTAGAGGAAATCCTGGACGCAAGGGTGAGGTATAAACGGCTGAACTACTTCGTCAGATGGAAAGGCTACGACGCATCGCACGACCAATGGGTCCGCTTCGACCGCGTCTTCGCCCGGAGAAAATTGCGGAGTTCTATCGTAAGTACCCTGGCAAGCCACGACACATCGCCTCCGCGACCTTCGACTCGATTCCGTTCCGGTCTATGCGTCGGGACGCCGCATTCAAAGGGGGGTGATGTCAGGGGAACCTCCCTTCGGCCCCTCGGAGACGCCTCCGATTCCGGTCCGACTCCGGTTCCGCCTCCGGTCCGGCCCTCCATCTCGCCCGCACAATCACCGATCCGTCAACGCCCTCCCGACGGTCGCCCTGGGACCTCGCCTGCGACGCCGCCCCAAGCCTTCTGTGCCCGACAGCGGCAGCTACGGACAAGCAGTATATAGTCAGCTACCTAGCAGGCGGACCCTTAGAGTTTCTTCTCTTTGGATCCTCCCCTGCTAGGTCAGCTTCATTTGTATTCGCTTACCAATGTTCACGCCTTTGGATCCTCCCCTGCTAGGACCTTGATCTCAGGCCTCCGGGGTTGCCCTTACATAAAGTACCAAATATTTCCTTTGCTATAACTGAATAGTCACTACAATGATCATATGATGAGGATCAACTACCATAGTTCACTCATCATACTCTCAACAATGTTCCTGACAGCACTTATATCATATATCTCCATTACATAGTTATCAAGATAGAAGCTCATCAGTTGGACATTAGCTGATAACTATTACTATGGGTTACTTCATGGAAGTTGTTTATATAGTCAAAGTATACTTTAATTTTGTGACAATCTGTGACATTCTCTGATAATTTCCTTTTTTGGCCATTTGTCATACCTAACACTCTATATATATTACAGTTATCATAATAGTTTCATTTTTGTGACATATGTAACTACCAGTCACTCTTTAGCTACTTACCCGGAAAATTTCCTTCTTGGGGTGGATGTTACTCATGTTACACAGAGTGATAAACGTGACAAATGCACGATTTTGTCACACTTGGACTTAGACCCAGATACCAGGACAATTATAGCAGCTATAGCAGCATAGAATAGGACTTAGTAGCGTAGAGGGAAACTTAGAGCTTATGCTGCAGCAAGATATTCGAGAATTATTGCAGCATGGCTATTTTGCAGTCATCTCTTCTAATTAGAAGTGAGACCCCAGCGTAGCCTCACTTCTAATTAGAAGAGATATGTGGGATTAACAGGTGGGTCAGTCATAATAATATAATGATGTCATCATGGTACTTAATTTTAGATACAAGCAAAAATCAACAAAGGAATACTAGTATGATACACATCTCTTAGAATCTTAGTTCATTCTGGTTAGAACCCCTATGTTGCTTCATATAAATTTACATTGTCATTGACTGAAATATGAGACAATCTCTATTTTTTTTCAAGAATTCTTCAGGTCCCATGAATTAATACTTAATAGCCCGGTATGATTGGTTATAATATGAGGAATATATCTGACTATCAAACGCATACTAGTGTTTTTAAATGGTAATAAACATTTATAAACAGTTTTCTTACCATTTTCATTCAGTTTACCTTGAAGTGTAAATCAAAACCAAATAGTTGAAGCACTAAAAGGGACGAGACCAGTGATATTACACTGGTATTAAAACCACAAGGTGGACATACTTAATATGAGATATAGATATATGAGATATAAGTGTAAAGAGGGAAGGAAGGCAAGTTGCCAGGGGATGAAAGGGAACATGTTGAGGGATTTACCATATTCAGAGGATGCTTGAGGTTGTCACTGCAAACTTACAAGACCTTGAGTATTAAAAATAGATCCAACCTGGACACACATAAACAGGAAATGCAAGGAACTTAAAGAAGCAATTAAACAGCAAATCTGAATCTTTCTTTCTTTTATAATTTTGACCCCTTTTATCCTTTTCCCTCTTGAGTGACGTGTCTCTAATAATCAAAGCTACCAAAAATATGTCATTCTACAGCTCTTTCCGAGTCTGCCCACAACAAACAGCCTTGTCCAAAAGACTTGGAACTGGATGTTTGCCACTCTATTCCATTCGCTATATATGACTCGCAAGAACTGGATGACAGAATCTCAACACAGGCACCTCCATGCGATAGGCGGTGGCCGCATGAGCCTAGGCAATCGCACTACCATTTGGTCCCCAGCTCGACTGCGCTGCCGCGAAGCTCCACACACTATCATACTCTGGGTCCTTGGACGCCGTAAACAGCAGCACGCCGCCCTTCTCGAGCGCGCTCCCCAGGTCCAACAGCTGCTGCGAAAGCTGAGGTCGCGCCCGCACGGGGAGCCAGTAGATCTTGATTTCGAAGGGCGCGGCGCCCGCGCGGCCCGCGCGTTGGTTCATAAAGTCGATGAACGCCCCGTCCGAGAACGCGAAGAGGGTAGAGATGGAGAAGAAGTTGAGCGCGGGGACCAGCGGGGTCACCGCCGGGGTGCCGGTGTCTGTGAGTCGCGTGACAAGCAGATCGGTAACGAGCGCATGGTTCTCTGGGGCGCAGTCGGCGACGACGAGCTGCGTCAGGGCGGGCATGTGCTGCAGGCACTCGATGAGCTCGACATCCGTGATCAGCACCCGATTCAGCTCGAACTCGACGAGGGTGGACCGGAACTGCGATCGCTGGGAGAATTGGAGGAAGTGGGCGTGGTCCCAGAGGAGCGAGCGCTGCTTCACGGTGTTTATGAGCCCGAGATACTGCAGCGACGGCAGTGTCAAGGCGCCAAGGATAGCCCCAAGCACGGGCCGCTCCCAAAGCGTGGCCGCGTTGCGGTTCGACGGGAGCGTGAGGGTGAGTTGCAATGCCGATGTGTTCGATGAAACCGAAGGAAAATGGTCCAAGTCTATTTCGGGATCGTCAACGTCGAGCCTGATCCAGCACTGGTCCCCCGTAAACCCGTCGAGCTGTCCGATGAGGGTGCATGCCTCAGCCAGCTCATCCGTAAACAGATTGGTGAAGCCGAAAACATGCAGCTGTCGAACTGGGAAGGTTGGGAGCGGAGTGTCGGCACGTCCTGTCATGGTGAATTCCGCGAGCCGTGGGGCATCTCCAAAGACATCCATCCCTACGCGTTCGTGCCACTGATCATTTTGGAGAGAGAGACCGACAGTCTCGAGCAAGGGAATACGATTCTTGATAGTAACGAGCAGCTCGAAGCTGGGGTAGTTGTGCCAGAGATATATCGATCGCCAACGCGTTGAGTGGGGGCAGAGCAGCGCCATGAGCTTTGCACCGGAGGTTTGGCCGAGCGCGGTATCATCCTCCAGGGCGACCTGGATGCGGAGCGGAAAGTTCTGGCTGCGCTGAAGAGAGACCGATACGAGGCGCAGTAACGTCGACTCCGAGTAACCTGACTTTCCCCACAGGGTCGTGTCCGCTATGATGTACCGCCAGAGCGCTGGCGTGCCCATTACGATCGCATGCCAGTACGAGCACACCTGCAGTGCCACATTAGCACGCAGTCAGTGTAGCCAGACTGTAGCGCACCTTAGATAAGCGCAAAAGGTAGAGCTTCGCTAGCCGGTATGCCTCTTTTACTGGTGTCGTGGCATCCGAGAATTCCTCGTCCTCTTCAGGCATGCAGAGGTCGAATACGGTCGCCCATACTTCCGCGGGTAGCCGCTCGGCAAAGCTCATCGCGTTCCCAAGGATGAGGGAACGATCGCCGAAGACTGAGCCCGAAGTGGTGAAAGGCAAGTTATGAAGGTGACACGTCACGCGGTGGTTACCACTTGATTGCCGGTTTACCAGATCAAACTCGCTGGAGCGGCAGATCTAGAATGACACACAGGGTGACTTGAAACTTCGACTGCAGATTTATCATTTCCGGTGTGCACGGTTTTGACACGGAGTTCAGCTATCTAAATTTTTAAATTTTCCTCTTTAAAATAAGAAAATGATGACTCAGAAGGCGGCAGGCCAGGGAAATCTCTTTCAATTTCGAGTGCCAGTGAAACCTTTGCACCGCTCGAAGTTGAAATGGTACTGTCGTCTGTAGAATGATAGTCATTCGCTCTCCAGGCGGAGAATTTAGTCGTCCGATACCTCGAGTCAGAATGCTGTGCAAAGGGCTCAGGCTGCAGCTAGCATGCAGTCGCCGAGGACGCGTACGCTTCAACATTGTGGACTCGGATACACAAAAGCTTGTGCCTGCCTACACGTCGAGACAGTAAGCGTTGCCTTCAATATTCCGCTCCGAATATAGTAGCGGCCCGCATTTAAAGCCACCGCTAAGAATACACAAAAGGGCCGCATGGACGCGCATCCGAGCCGAACTTGAATGCGCGGCCCCTTGAGTCTGGGGGAGTCAGAACCGAATGTTAAGCGTTGCATTAGAAATAAGCATCCTCCCCCGTACTTAAGCTGTTGGACGCCCACAACCGTTCTCCATGATCCTTCCCCTCAGGGACGTGCACGAGGTTTATCCCGGGCTCGTTCTGTGGTGCAGCACGCGGAGCCGCGAAGTCGACTTGGCGTCGCTCGGCGTGGGGGAGGTATACGACCGACGGCGGGCACGCGAGCCGAAGCCGTGCCTGGTCGTAACCGTTGACCATGCGCGGGAAATGGTCAATGTTGCGCGAATCTGCAATAGACAAGTGGGCACTCTTTCGCTTTGTTGACCGCAACTCACACATTATCGCTATTAGCCCGCGGACACTCGTCGATGGAGTCGCGTCGATTTTACGCCGCATATCACATGGTCTGTCCCCGACGCGTGGATTTGGGTCGACACGCCAGACCAGATTCCCATCGTTCTCAACAGCGCACGGTCCATGCACGGTATGTCGATATAGCAATGTGCATATCAATCTCGAACTGACGGGAAACCGAAACAGCGCACCAAGAAATAGTTTACAACATCCCGCCAATATCCACAGCCAATTTGCAGGCCTACCAGATCCGACGTTGCGCTTATCAGAACTTGATTGGACAGACTCCTAGTTTTGTGCCGGGAGGATATGGCATCGATATGGCTGCACGAGGCTCATTTACAACGGTCGCGCCACAACCGGTCGTGGTCCCCTCGGGATTTACGGAGGAAAACCCGAGGTATCCCGGCTGGAAGAGGAACCCGCACACAGGTTGGCTGTGGAATCCGTTATACGGGCTGACGCCTCCGCCAGAATGAGTTGCCTCCCACTCAATTGTGATAAATCATATAGTCAGTTACGATCAGATTTAGGTATAGAACGCACTGTATAATACACAACTTTGAACTAATCGTTGTTTGTTCTCGAGTCCCAGGAAATTGTGATACACGATATAGTCAGTAACGATGAGATTTAAATCAATGTATAAAACGCACAACTAATCGTTGGTTGCTCTTGAGTCAGATAACAGCGAAGGTTGTGCGATTTAAAAACTGGTGGTTGCTACTAGATTCAGCCTTCATTCTTACCGATAGAGAAGTTTATGCTGAAATCAAGTGCGGGAAACTGTTCGCCATTGTCTATATTGAAGGTTCAGTCTAACAACACACCCTGTCTAACTGGCAACAGACCCACTCCCGCCCGCCCTCTGCGCCTCCTGCTCCGCCACCTGGCGCCCATACGCCGTGTTCAGCTTCATCAGCTTCGCATACCTGGGCTCGATGAACAGCGCCTCGGCCTCGACCAACACGGTCCCGTCAAGCGCCTCGACCGTGCCCTTGACAAACGCCTTGCGGCCGGACTGCGAGACGAGGGAGGTGCGCAGGACGACGAACTGGTCGGCGCGGGTGGGGGCGCGGTAGTTGAGCGTGAGTTTGGCGGTCACGCCCGCTTTGGAAGGGAGGTGGGCGGCTGCCTGGATAAGAAAATTTAAGATCGAGGAGTACAGAGAAAGTGTGGGGGAAATGAAAGTACAAGCGGGCAAGGGGAAACTGCGGAAGAGGGAAAGAATGCTATTGAACGGAAGAATTGGGATTGCTTCCAAAAGCGAGTAGAGAGCGTCAAAACCAAGAAGTGTTGGTTGCGAAAAGAGAGTGGAAGAGGAAGTGTTGGGAATAGAAGCGGGCAAAGGAAGTAGGATAGAAAAAAAGCTATGGAACGGAAGAATTGAGATTACTTCCAAGTGAAGAGCTCCCAAACGAAGAAGTTTGGGGTAAAAGCGGGGTAAAGGAAGCACTCACCGTCCGGAACAACGCCTCATCTAGCAACGTCGCCAACAACCCGCCATGGATAATCCCATCATGCCCACACAGCCCCCGCCCAAGATGCACAAACGCCAGCGCCTCCTGCTCGTCCCGCCTGGCTCGGACCAGCGGAATCAACGCGAGCTTTCCCGGGCCCCGCAACGCCCCGCTCGTCAGCGAGTTGACCCGCACGGCCTCCGGGAGGTTCTTGTGTGGCCGGCCCTCGTACCACTCGCTTGCGTCGGGTCTTGTGCGATGCTCGGCAAGGAAGGGCAGTGCTTGCAGCTGCTCTTCTAGGGAGGCGGTATACGCGAGCGATTCCGGTGATGACGCGTCCGCGGGTGGGGCCGGTGCTGGACGAGGGAAGACGAGGGAGACGAGGGAGGGAGGATAGAGTGAGCCCAGGCCGTAGGCCGTCAATGAAAGCCCCGCTGCGAGGGACAGTGTGGCAAGTGTACCAATAGCCCGCGTAGGTCGCGGCTTCGGCCCTGACGACATTTGACGCCATGTCGCGGGCGTCGAGCGAAGTATCTTCGGGATTGAGGACCGGGTGGAGTGAGAAACGGAACTTGCGAGCATTGGGGGCCGTACGGCGACGCGTCTTGACGGGAGAGATGAGGGAAGAAGACAAGAAATTTTGACGTGTGAAAGTTGATCGGTCATTTAATAAATCGGGCCGAAGAGTAGCCGGAATATTCATCAGCTGGAGACAGTGACCCCTGGATTCGGAGTGACACCCCTGTTTCATGTTGCTCTGTTTTAGCCCCTAACTAATCTTCAATCCGACCACGATGGGCTCCACGTCCTCTTCGATGCAGACCCCCTCAACGTCGCCCGCACCCAGCCAGAGTGCGGAGAGCACGCGCGGTATCAAGGCGGGGGAGGTGTATCTGCTCTTTGGCATTGGCTTCGGTACGTGATCGCCCGCCTGTTGAGGCTGTAGCGGGGCTGCTGACCTCCTGCGCAGCGGGGTGCGCCATGCTGCTCGCTTGCTGTGGGCGGTTGTATCAACAACGCAGGACCCGATCCAGCACGGCCACTAGTAACGGAGCCGGGCTCGGAATCGCACTGACAGTGGTACCGCCGGCGGTATACCCACCGGGGTATGGTCCAGTGCGTATCTCTACCAGAATATCGATGAATGCCTTGAATCCACATGCGTATAAAGCCCGTGGGCCCGGGACCTCCACCGACAGAGCCCGCCCCTGCCTACATTTCCGTGCGTGAAGCTCGGTCGCAGTCCGCTCTCGCTCAATTTTTTTCCGCAGCCTCACGCTCATTCATGTTAGCATTCGAAATGGCCCTGTCATTATATGTTTGTGCCAAGAGCAGCAATTCGAATTGCCCGAGCCTTTCGGAAGGCAATACCAAGGCAATACAATTACAGCTACAAAGACGTTTACAGCTGAGCTATCTCTTCAAGAAGTAAACTTACAGATTTTATCACGGCTCAGCTTTCTGAGCTATTCTCTCCTTCAGCCCACACGCATTGCACAAATACATTCCCGGGACCTTCAATGATCGTCGCCAGACCGATGTACGGCGTGTTGTACATTCAAAACACGATCGATTCTTTGTGGGCGTTTTCGGCCTTCCGCGTCTTGAAGATGTCGGACTGGCAGTCGCGTCTGGGAGACGCTCGACCGGAAGCTTGGAACCGTCGCTGTCCGATTCACCGTCGCTCCGCTTACGCTTCGCCGACCGTCGTCCCGCCGCCCGCTTTTCGGATTTGTAACAAGCATCACAAATCGGTGCCCCCGACTCTGGTCGCGTCCAATGCCAGAAGGGCGTGTCATGAGTTCCACACTCGTCGCAGTGAAGACCGTTGGTTGGTGGAGGTATGGCATGACCAGACCCGGGTTCTATATGAGCGGCCGCTGTAATGGTAGCGATTTGTGCGAGGTAAAGGCCACAGGAATTGCATAGCAGTTCGCCTGTGTCGGGGTGATGGCGCCAGGACGGCGTAGACGTGACATAACAGCGTGAACAGTAGAGGCGGTGAGGCCCAGTTGGCGGATGGGGTGAGTCGGAGGTCGCTCTGGCAGGAGGTCTCTCGGCCAACGGTGTGCTGGGAGCATTTGGCGCTTCGCCATCAAGGATTTCGGGGACCGTGTGGCTCATCTGAGCGGGATTGACATGAGAGGCCACAAAAATAACGCGCGGCCCACCTGCTTCAGGTGTGAAATCTCTTCTTCGCGGGCCACCAATGTCTTGAGGGTGAGGTCAGGCAAAACACAAGCAAAGTGTTGGAGCCGCACCGCCTTGAGAGCGATGGTCTCCTGCGCAATGGCGTCGCGCTCGACCAGAACAGTCTGAAATCGCGTCAACCGCTGCAAAAGGGAGAGCCGCAGCTACACACCTGATACGCCTCCTGCGCTAAACGACACTCGTGGACGGCTTGATTCAGGTTCTGTCAGAAGAGTGTTGAGTCATGCGGCGTATCCCAAGAAGGATATCAGCGCTTGCCTCTTGCAGTAACCGGTTTTTCTTGAGCTCGTCATCGTACGCGGTTTTGAAGGAATCATATGCGGCAACGGGCTCAGAGTCGTGCACAACGGCAGCGGGAAAAGTCTACATAGTGGAATCAGCGATCAGCGAGGAACTTTAGTGGATCGGGTTGCGGACATCACAGGATGTAGTGCTCTGCGAAACTTTTCGTCAGTTCTGGGCCTTCTGGCACTTACAAGTGCGAAGGCGTGTCAAACGGGGAGTCACCTGTAGTTGCGCGATGGTAGGATGCATGATGCTCGGTCGCAAAGCGGCCCCAGGTTCAGGGCGCAGGCCTTCGCTGACCGTGCCAGTCGACATGGTGATGTGGTACGAAGAAAAAGGGTGGCGTCACTGTGAGTCATTGATGTGACAGATCATCTGACGGGATCATTGGCATGCATCATGACGTGGCACTGCTTGGCAAAAACCGCCATGCAGGATTCTACAGAGCTGCCTCCAGAGCTCATGGCCAGAATTTTCAGCGCTTGTCTACCTCCCACTCAAGATGCCTTTCCACACGCCGACACGGCTCCAATGCTGCTTTGTCGTGTCTGCCGTCGGTGGCGCAGTATCGCCCTTTCTACGCCAGAACTATGGGCGACCTTTGTCGCGAAAGATGGGAAGGCTTCGGTGGAGACTCTCAAGCTCTGGTCGGACCGCTCTGGATCTCTTCCGCTTACCTATGTTCTGGACAGCAACGTCATCGATACAGGGAAGATTCTGCTCGAAACGGCAACTGCATACAAGCAACGCTGGGGAACGCTAATCCTTCATCTTTGCGACCAATCCTTTGCTCCGCTGAACTCCATATCCAGCTGCCGCCTCCCACTATTGCGAAGCCTTGAACTTAAAGCTCGCTGGCGAAGGGAAGGTCATGGAATGACAGCACCGGACCCTAGAAGACTACCGACTTTCGATCTGGGCGGCGCCCCCAATCTGACAGAGCTCCGGCTTACCTCTTATCCACGCAACCACCTGACCGGGATTCCCTGGCACCGGTTGACCGTCTTAAAGCTCGAGGGCAGAGTAGTCCGCCGTGATATGGAACGTTTGGCTTTGTGTCGCGCCCTGGTGGACCTAACTCTTTCTTACCCGGGCTCTGGTCCAATAATTCAACCAGCACTCAACATGGTCCCAGAACTTGTCCACCTCCCACAGCTGCAATCGCTCACCACCGACGCCAGCGAAATATTGACGTGTCTTCGACTGCCACGCCTGCGACACCTGGACCTAGAAGTGTTTGGAAACGAAGATCCGCTGAATTTGTTATCTGCTCTACGCGATTGGGCGTGTACTCTGCGCTCACTTACAGTTACTCGCCCAAGCCCAGGGGTTCCGTTATCCAATATACTGCCTGGCATCCCGACGTTGCAGCTACTCTCGCTTGATTTCCGGTATTCCGACTCTCTTAATTCCCCGCACATCGGAGATCTTCGCCCGCTGATCTCCATCTTCAAGGACCCACACATCCTAATGCACCTTCGACGCATCACCGTCACCTGTTGCTCCACTAAGTGGGAAACCCCGGACGTCTTGGTAACTTTCCTGCGCAAAACAATCGCACACTGGGCTCAGTCCGATGACACAGCGCCGCTCTTACTCCCTTCCGGTTCGCTTCAGTCAACAGCATTCATGTGCATAATTTTCCTGCCAAGGTGCGACAAAGAATCGGTGGACTGGAGTGCAGATCCCATTGGGTCACTCGCACCTATCATTCGTCGCCATTCGAGCATAGAAATCAGCGTCTGTGGTCGGGACGGTCAGGTGTTGTTTCCACCTGAAAGTTAGAAACTTCTCTGTCAGACTAAGTACTTGATAGTTAACGGTCCCATTTGATGAAAGTCGACGTCTATACTCTTGGAATTCAAAAGAAAAAGAAATCTTGGTTCTTTAGCTCATCTCGTCATCATACTTATCCGGACTTACGATCCGACCGGTGTCACATCATCACATGGAATGGCGTGCACAGCCTTTTTTTACCCTTCTTCCTCCTCCAATCTCATCCTTCGTAAACGACACGCCCACAAACGCCAAGCCGCCGAACGGATGTGACCCATGTTCAAGGTTCCCTTCACTTCGAAGGGCGTTGCAAGCTGTCAGTCGTCCGTTGCCCGAGGGCCGACGGCCACGCAGGCAATGGATGGAAGCTAAGACCGGAGATAACCAGACCAGCGCTCAACATCCGAGATCGTGCTTTTCGCAGCACGGAGCAGCAGGCTACGTGGCCCGCAGGTGCGATTTCTCATTCTAAGTTAGTCCATTGAAGGGCAGGCACTCCCATCAAAGGCGTCGTCATACGTCCAACAAGACTTTTCCGACGTCTCCACGGTCCTGACCGCTCACTACATAGGTACACTCACGTCGTCCACATTGATATCAAGCTCCATCAGTAAATTATAAACCCCGCCCGACAACCGCTCCGCGCGCTCAAGACACCGTCGGCATCTCATGTTTCCCCTCATTTCAGCTGGGACTCAACTTGGCTTTGTTGTTGGTTCACCGCCTCTCCATCTGCACTGCGATGCATGATCGGCCGTCGGCCAACGAACAGCGCCGCGGCGAAAGGCCACGCGCTTGCTGTCATGATCCACCTATAATAGAGTCGGTTGTCCGCGTCGGCGAGCTTATATTGCCCCACTCTTATACTCCGACAGCGACACCCTCCCGCAGCTGCCTTCCCCCCACTCCATCCACTCCATCCAACTTCGAATAACTTCAAGTTGTGGACCCTTCCCCTGCTATGACCGCCTCAACGTCGACACCTCCACTGGACGCCTACGGGTGGCCCATCTCGGAGCTAGACTACGACTACGAGCTGAGCGAGATGACGCAGGTGCTGCCGGGGCTGTTTCTAGGAAGGTGCGTCGTTAACGTTGCTCCCTCGTTCGAAAAAGACGCATTTAACATTACACTCAGCGAGCAAAATGCGCGACATCTGCCTTCCTTGTGTCGGAACGGTATCACGCACATCCTGAGCGTCATGCAAGTCTCGGATCCACCTGAATTTGAAGACCAGCTGTTCACGGGAGTAATAGAAGAGGATGAAAGCGACGAAGAGATGCGGCCGGTTAACGAGCGTTATAGACCAAAGCGAATGGTTGTCCCTGTGGATGACATCCCTCAAGAGGTAGGCTTCCTTCGCCTCCGTGGGACCTTTATATATCGTTGACTAGGAGATTTTCCCATTTTTCCGGAAAACCAATGCTTTCATCGATGAAGGCCGAGAATTAGGTGGAGTGCTCGTCCACTGGTATGTCGCTCGCTGGCTTTTATGGTCGTGTGACTCCTAGCTTCCAGCCAGATGGGTGTCTCAAGAAGCCCCACGATCGTTGCGGCCTACCGTAAGCCTTCTTTTCATTGCCCGTCCGTTCCTGATAATGGCCCTGCCTCCAGTCATGTCCTCGCATCCTCCAACATCCACACCATCTTCCGCCCTCGCCTTCCTAGAATCGAAACGCGCGATTGTCTGTCCAAATTGGGGGTTCCGCGAGCAACTGGTGCTCTATCACGCTTGCGCGTGTAACATCGATTCCGACTTTGACATGGAGGTCGATGACCACGAGTCTCCTTCAAGGAACACGCCTCGATTCGATCTCAATCTGCTCCATAAGACGGCTTCCGCCACCAGTAACAACAACCAAGCAAAAGTTGCTAAGTGGCGCGCAGGAATGGCGAAGCGGAAGCGGCTGTCGGCGGACAAGCTGCGGCGGGAGCACGAGCGGGCCATGCGGGCAGAGTGGGAAAACAATGTTCCTAGCGGCCCGGCTGGGAGTGGACATGGGGCATGGGTGAAGAATTGGCGAAGAGCTTCGCGATGGGCGGCGTCTGTCCTGGTTTGACAGCGCTGTCACGATTTTTACATTGGTGGGAGACGGGAGTTGGGAGAAGGAGCGGTCGAGACCTCTGTGAATGTCACGATGGGATCGCGCGCCGAGGGAGACAGGTGAAAGGTCCTTACTTGACGAATGCGTTACTATTAATTTACTGCGGCCGACCGTCCACCGGTTACTATACTTATTATTACTTCCAGAGGCGGAGACAATAGCATATTTGTGGAACATAATGTCCATTTGATTACTTATATTACGGCCGCAACAGTTCTCGCGCTGACCTCCCGAGAAGGACGGAAAAAAATCATGAAATCGATCACAAGGTTGATTTTACGGAGTCATATATTTGTGGTGATACAATGAGTGCTATCCTCGAACTACCACAGACAACAGCGTCGGACTTAGGTAGAATATGAAGATTGGATTTCACTGACACAGTGACACCCTACAGCTCATAGCCGATGAGTTTCAAGTTGTGAACGTCGACAATGCTTACTGGACATGTGCTTCCTGGATCAACTGTACGCCGACAGGTAGAACTGACGACGGCGACGCCACTTGAGAATTCAAAGCCGTAGTTTCTCCGCCTTCAAGTTAGCGTCAACGGACCATGACACGGTGGCGTTTCGTGGCTTGCACGACTGACGTCATGGTAGAAGAAGTGAAAGAACTCACCGCGAGGTTGATAAACGGCAGCCGTTTTAATCGATCAATTATACAGCCAAAATCAATGCAACAAAAAAAAATTCACCTGTAAAAAGCATCTCTAAGTACTTAGGGTGCTGTAAGTCTGACCTATTTAATTCAATTCTGCCGGTCATAGCCGCATTGAATTTCTTGGCCGAAATATTTTGGCGGGTCACAGGTCACAGCTGATTTTTTCGGTCCCAATTGAGAAATTCGCTAAGATTTTCACGCTTATGGTGCACTAGATTCTCTAGTCAGAATTCGAATACTCAAAACTACAAGATACCTGTTTATATCAGGGACACATGCCATAAGCACAGACTATATTATATCAGCAGCTCATTAAACACTGCAATCAAATTTCGCCCATTAGAGTGCTGTGAGTAGTATCTTGGTTTTGAATTAGTTTCAAAACCAGTTTCAAAACGCGTGTGAGTTTTGAATTGGTATACTTTTATAGGATAGTCCACTACACCCAGATCCATTTATGGTCACACAGCTAGTGCTAGGATCATTCAATTATCAGAGACCTTAGGCGCCATATAGCCCAGGATAGACGTATGCTATAGGAGCAGAGGCACCACTTTCCTGGAGGTAAAACATACTCCTACTAGTATATATACTCAGCTCATATAGAATTGTAAAGGTGAAGCCATGATGAACTTATCATCTTTGGGCTAGATAACACTGATAATGATACTGTGAGAGATCCACATTAGCTATGGGGTTGATTGAAGTGCTGGACAGGTTCATTTGAAGGTCTCTACCATCCTACATTCAAGTCTTGCATCATACTTGAAATTATTTTCTGACCAGTTGTCATAGCGAAGACACAGTCTTGTGCTCTATGGGTACCTACCCTCTATTCAGCTACCTTCTGTAACACATACCAGAACCACAACTGATTACAGTACAGGGTCCTAGTAGACATCCAAATACCCTCATACATGCATCTCAATGTCATATACTCAGTCTATAGACCGCCCTATTCATGTAAACCCGTTTCACACCTTAACTGAAGTTAAACATCTGCCCCAATTCATCGTTCAAGAGCATATAGAGATCAATCAGAGGATGTAGCTAGGTATATACACCTCATTCAATGAATGCTACATGTTTTGATCTTTAATCAACTAGCAGATGATGACTGGATTGCCAATATGATGTGTAATAGCAGTCATGTATATAATGGAGGAAAACAGGATATTACATGTATATAATGTGGTGTAGGAGATGTTGTCTCGTAGGAGGACCCATCTGCATGCTTACTACGGTTATTCCTTTGGGTACCCTTCACTTCTGAGCGAGTTATGGGAAGATTGTATTAATAGGATGTACATCATATATACAGGTGGATATGATTCCGAAAAATATGAGTGGTGCTCACAGCTGTGATGGACATCTTATAGACCATAATACAACTTGAATTATGGTTATCCATGGATTCCTCAGCAAGATATCAAGTGATCATTGTGCTTAATCCAATTTAAAGAAGGAAAAATACAGAAAAGTGGTATACCAGCATAAGCTAAGGGTATCAGACTAGACTCACATCAGAACATGTCTACATTAAGTTATTATCTACCTACCAGTATGACAGTCATCTAATTTGATGCAGAATTGGTGGGGATATTGCTGCATCAATATGTGTGATAGATAATCATAGGATAATATATATATATATATATTTATCACATTATATTGTCAAGGATATTCTTCTTATTATTATTCTTCTTATTATGCAGGTACCCTTTGAAGTGCTTAAATCATCTATGTAAGTTATCAACTTAGTGAGGTATCACTACATCAGGAGTATATCAGCAAATGATTGGCCAGTGCTGACACAATTGTTCAGTTGTCCCTATAGGTCACTTAATGCAAGTTGTTGGCCTCGAGCTTGACCTTGAACCTTAAGAAGTCGCCGGGCCGCTACTGTAGCATTTTATTCAGTTCGGCGGTCACACGTCACACCGGCCTCACAATGCTGAAATGATTTCGGCGGTCACACCCCACAGCCTAGATGCCGAATTCCCGTGGCTGATTTACCATTTTTGGGTGGGCCGCACCGTAATATACCGAAATTTTTCGGCGGTCACACTCGGAGCGGCCGGACGCCGAAAATTTCATTTCGGCGCCGATGTCACACCCAATTTGGGCGCCGAATTGAATAAAATACTACAGTAGTGCGACGGGCTCCTCTAGGAAGCTCTAATGTACTATAAATAAAGTATGGGCAAGGTATGATATTCACATATCAATCGTAAGTCTGAATAAAACTTCAAATTTCCATATGAGGAGAGTGATCACATCAAAAGGCTGTAAGCCTTATAGCAAGAAAACAGTTTATGGCTTATTATAATCAAGACATTCATTCCATTATCCAGTTCCTCTTGATCTAATATCTGTAAGGGCAATCCCAGAGGCCTGAGATCAAGATCCTAGCTACTAGCAGGAGAGGATCCTCACCAGAGAGGGCATCACGGATATCGCAAAGGAGTTCAGAGCCGGGACTGGAAACGGAAACACCCTCGAGTGCGTGGATGTGGAAGAGTTCAGGCCGCAGAAGGACGACATCGGAGTTGTCGGAATCGACTCCGTGGTTGGGTCTCCGAGAGAGGGCGTCAGGTCGGCCCATGTCGCGGCCAGGCTTGTGGTGCAGCGTGAAGTCGAACCGGGAGAGGTACAGGGACCACCGGGCCTGTCTCTGGTTGAGGTGCTGCGTATTCCGAAAGTACTCCAAATTCTTATGGTCAGTCCAAATCTCAACAGGGTGCGCGGCACCCTCGAGGAAGTGTATATCTATACTCCTCGAGTGCGTGGACGATCGTGAGCATCTCCTTGTCGTGGATTTTGTAGTTGCGCTGGGCATCGTTTAAGCTTTTGGAATAGAATGCTACAGGGTGCCACTTCCAGTCCGGGGCGGATTGTGAAAGAACCGCCCCCGTCGCATAATCAGAGCTGTCCGCCTCAAGTCGGAAAGGCCGTGTGTCATCCGGAATCGCCAGAACTGGTTCCAAGGTGACCACGTCCTTGATTGCTTGGAATGCGGAGGCCTCCGCGTCGCCCCAAGTCCATTGCTGGTCCTTCTTGGTGAGCACAAAAAGTGGGCGCGCAAGGGTCAAGAAGTCCCGAATGAACCTGCAGTAGAAATTAGCGAACCCAAGGAACTGCTGAATGTTCTTCTTGTTTTCCGGAGTCGGCCAAGCGGAGACGCCTGTGACCTTGACAGGGTCCATTTCGACATGGTTATGGGAGATGATGACTCCGAGGTCGATTGACAATTTTTCAAAGTCACACTTCTCCGCTCAAAGGTACAACTTGTGCTCTCGGAGTCGCCGTAAGACCTCCTGAACGATCTGCCGGTGTTTCCGGGGGTCGGAATGGGCGATCAGGATGTCGTCAAGGTAGATCATGACGTCTCCGGAGAGGATGAGGTCCCTTGCAGTTGGTGGGCTTAGCGTCGGGGACAAGTTCAATGGCGTGGTCCCAGGCTCTCCGCTCTGGTAGCATATCGAAGGACTCCTTGTTGGAGACGTCCTGGAACTCCTTAGCCCAGTCCGGGATCTCGGAGGGCGGAGGGGCGGAGTTCCTGGCAAAGGCTTTGGCCAGACGCTGTGAGACGGTGCTACCTGTGCGTGTCTCCTCCGAGGGACGGAACGAGGTGTAGAAGATGCGGTCACCATATTCAAGCTGGTCATCTTCATCGTCCGAGTCCGAGTCCAGTGTCAGATTAGGCAGGTCGGAATCGAGACCAGAATCGGAATCGTCTCCTTCCTCAGGGCCAGAGAGGTCCATAGTGCAAACCGAGGGGAACAGGCCGGAGCTGAGATGTTTCTGGAGCGACTGGAGTCACCGCAACTTGGTTTGTTCGACGCGCTCTTCCTCGCGGCAGGCCGAGCAATTGCGGGGACACCGTGTCATCTTGACCTCCTTGGTTTCCCAATTGATCTCTGGGTTGTGTTTCCGCAACCAGGAGTACCCCAAGATAAGGTCTTGCTTACCAAGATGAGTGACAGCCAGTTGAACTCGTTCGGCATGGCCTTTGTAGCGCAGGACCAAGTCCGCGATCTGTTTGATGGAGCCAGCGTCATTGGGGGTGCCATCGACGTTGAAAACCGGAATCGGCTGATCGAGGGTGCGGACTGGAATGCCATTCCGAGTGACGTAGTTCGTGTCAATGAAGTAGGAGGTGGCACCACAGTCGACAAGCCCAGAAAGCGAGAGCTTCAGTGTGCTGGTGGTGGACTCTAGCTCCAACAGGAGGTGGAGGGAGTTCACCCCAGGGGAGGCGGCAACGGTATACTGCTTGGGTAGTTTCTTTTCCCAGGCAGTGATGCGGTGAAGGACGATGACCAGAGTCACGCGCGGAGTCAGAGATGGAGTCGGGGCCGGGGGCAGGAAAGGGTGTGTCTTTCGTTTTGGGCTCATTGTAGGGCAAGGAACTGCATTTATTATTTATTATACAAAGAGGCAAAAGGATTTATAGATGCGAACGAGGGCACACCAGTCACTTGTCACAGGGGACAAAATCCTCTCCAGCCATCGACTCCGCTGCCGTCTCCGGCAGGGCAGCTGTGTCCGTGTAGCGGGCAATCGACTCTGCTAATATCTCGTCACCGAGTTGTTGGATCACCTCGTCGAGGATGTCCATCGAGCGGACATCGGCGGGGAGGGGGCAATCCCGGGCGAGATGGTTTGGGTCGCCGCACCTGAAGCAGGCGCGACGAGGAGCACCCCGAGCCCTGGTGCGATCCAACTCCATAGGGACGGGAGCTGGAGGCGCCGGAGCGGGGGCACGGGCTGCGGGTGGCATGACCGGAGCCACCGGGTGGAAGAGGGCCGGAGCCGGGATGCGGTTGACCAGAAACGGAGTCCGAATCAAACCGCCAGGCATCTTGGGGGCGGCTGACTTGATCAGCTTGGCCCGGACCAGGGCCTCGTATTGACGGAAGGCCCGGGTGCGCCAGCTAAGGTAATCCCGGAGGTCCGGGGGGTCGTTCGAGGACGTGATTCCGTTGTTGATCAGGGGGTCAAGTCCGTGGCGGAACTTGGTCACCTTGACCAACGCGTCTTCGAATCCGGCGAGGTCCATCAGGTCCTCGAAGTCGTCAGTGTACTGGTAGACATCCTTTGTACCCATGTGATAGGCGGAAGTCTCCAGTTTGGAGAGAGCATGATCTTGCTCGTTCTCCTCGACGAACCGGAGTCGAAACTCGGAAACGAACAAGCCCCAGGACGGAAACGGAAACGGGGCTTTGCTTCCGTGGCGCTCCGCCCATTGCTGAGCGGGCCCTTCTGCCATAAACGACATGGCATAGCGGACGGCCTTTTCCTCGCTCGCCTCTCCGTTGACCACAAAAGCCTCAGGGGCAAGGCGGGCGTTAGGTGCGGACCACGTAGAGGAACGTGCGGCTGCCTTTCCGATCGCCGTTGAAGGTGAATGGGGGTTTGGTTGCAAGACCAATTTTGAGGTGAGGTTGATGTCGCCGAAAAGGGCTTCAGAGTCACACTGGACCGGAGTCGGAGTCGGAATCGACGTCTCTGGCGATGGTGTTTGGGGTCCGCCAGCATTATGAGCGGCGGCAGCGGCAGCGGAAGCCTGGTTGGTGAGTAAAGCAAGGGCCTCAGTTAGGCTATCGATTTTCGCCTCGAGTGAGTCCAGCCAGGCGTCTGCGGTAGGAGTGACTCCAGACGGCATGACGGGTGCGGGGACCACAGGAGTAGAGGAGGAGGGGACAAGTGGCAGGGGCGGTGTCGAGGGTGGGACAGACTCGTACTCCGAGCCTGAGTCAGCGCGGAACCTGGCAATCTTGTCCGGTTGATCCCGTGGAGAGTTTCTTCTGCTGTAAGGGCAACCCCGGAGGCCTGAGATCAAGGTCCTAGCAGGGGAGGATCCAAAGCATGAACATTGGTAAGCGAATACAAATGGAGCTGACCTACCAGGGGAGGATCCAAAGAGAAGAAACTCTGAGGGTCCACCTGCTAGGTAGCTGACTATATACTGCTTGTCCGTAGCTGCCGCTGTCGGGCACAGAAGGCTTGGGCGGCGTCGCAGGTGAGGTCCCAGGGCGACCGTCGGGGGGGCGTTGACGGATCGGTGATTGTGCGGGTGAGATGGAGGGCCGGACCGGAATCGGAACCGGAATCGGACTGGAGTCGGACGCATCTCCGAGGGGCCGAAAGGGGGGTTCCCCTGACAATAGGCCGAGGGTTGTGAACTATAGAAATTAGAGTGTATACACCATATTTTAGTGTCTTTACACCCATATAAGGCTCAAATCTTTCATATAGAGAAAACCCCTGGGGACCTTGCCCCCGACCCTATGTGCCTGATATAAATCTTGCTCGAACCCCCCCCCCTCCCCTCTTGACCTGGGCCTCTCCCAAGCTGCCAACTGTATTACTCACCGCACCCTACTGTAGCATTTTATTCAATTCGGCGGTCACGTGTCACACTGGCCGTAAAATGCTGAATTTTTTTTGGCGGTCACACTGGACAGCCCAGATGCCAAATTCCCTTGGCTGATTTACTATTTTTGGCTGGCGCGGCCTGCAGTCTGCCCAAAATTTTCGGCAGTCACACTTGGAGCCGCCCGACGCCGATGTCACACCAATTTGGGCGCCGAATTGAATAAAATGCTACAGTATTGCCTATAACACATGTCATGGGCACGGACATTATACTTTATGCAAGACAGCTCTGTTTGCCCACCCAGCACAGAACAGATGGAACATTGAGTCTGTGAATGGGCACACTTCACCTTCATATCACATGACATGCCGAAAGATAGAATCTGTGGTTTTTTAAAAAAAGCCTTCTCATTACCAGAGTTAATATTTTTTTAAAAATGCCTCTAATTTATTGCCCCAGCCAAAAGGTGGGTTTTATATAGGGAAATCAGAGATCAAAAAAAGGTTTAAAAGGTTGAAAGGCCATGTCAGGGTGGGCAGTGTGATAGCTATAAGGCCCCAGACCTGATGTGTGGAAAAGTCCTTAGTCATGGGGAAATTACTGAGTAGGGGAAAGGCCAAAAAAAACAAAAAAAAATTTTGATGCAAAGGTGCCAAGAAAGATACGGAGTTTGACAGTGTGGATTTTATTAAAATGAGGGGAGAACTTGTAAATCACTAATGTTTTTTAAAAATGTTAATCTGCTGATTACAAGGGATTTTTTTTTAAAAAAAAAACCCCCCGTGTACGCCTGGCTCACAGCCACTCTTCTTGCCCTCCTTGTTGCCCTTGCAGCCGGCACTTCATGAGTTCCTGTCACCCCTACAGCAACACACCCACTCCCTGCTCGGCCACCAGGTTGTACATGCCACCTCTTGAGTGGAGGAATAGAGATATGTGGTGGTCCGGGATGTTCCTAAAGTGCATGTATACGGAGCTGACACCTTGCTGGATATGGGCTGATATCCTCCCAGGAGCACGTTGCCCATATTGGCCCTTGTTTTGGTGGCAAGATATTCATGTTATCAGAAGTCCAGAAAAATCTCCAAAAAATCGTGCGACAAAATTTGTGGAAAGAAACAATGTGTAGTATACGTGTATATGGTCAAGAGACTCAGAATTTCTATACTGCTTTTGACAAGTGACCAGTTGTCCAATTTTGAAGGGGCCTCGCACTGCGCAGTGTTCTGCCTCAGGGGAAAAAAAAAATTGAATCCAAAATTTGCACCACTCAAGCGGCTAAACCGAAAAAAGTCTATGTGCGACACCCACGCTGTCACGTCAACATCCCTTTCCATCATGATCACCTTCCGCAGTCGTCCATGTCGGCTTGCCTTCTGCCCCTACTTACGCGCGCTGCCCGCCCCACCCGCCCTCCATGCGCGCATGGCTAGCACTGCTGACTTTCGTTGCTATCGCCCTGGCCACACCGCTCGAGCGCCCAGAACTTCAAGGAGAGCAGGCTGTCTTGGAGACGGATTGGTTAGCGAGTGACGAGGAACCGCTGGCGCCGACCCCAGCGTACCGCTCGCTAAACACGACACGGAACCCGGGCTGGATGGCACGCATCGCGGACGAGACGTCGCTGGCTGCGCTGTCGATTCCGGGGACGCACGAGTCGATGGCGATTATGGGGACGAGCGTGGCTCAGTGTCAAGGTGTGTTGCCAGCATATTCTACGCTTTCAAGGGGTCTTACACGCTCTTTCAGAGAACCTCGGAAAGTCAGCAGCAACACTCACCGCGCAGCTCACCGCCGGCATTCGCGCCATCGACATCCGACTCCGTGTCGAAAGCGGGAACTCGCTTGTCGTGCACCACGGCTCTGTCTACCAGCACGCCAACCTCGACGATGTCTTCTCCGCGCTCGCCGCCTTTCTCTCGGCCAACCCTAAAGAAGCCATCCTCCTGCGCCTCAAGCAGGAATGCACCGGCGAGTTCGGCTCATGCACCGACGTGACCGGGCCAACCCAGCTGCCCTTCGTCGACATCATCGACTCTTACATCGCCCGCTACCCCACCCTCTTCTGGCCGCCCAGCGTCGACCGCCAGTGGTCTGCGCCACTTCCTACCCTCGGCGCTATCCGCGGCTCTGTGGTCCTCATGGCGCTGCACGGCCCGCGCGGAGGGCGGTTTGCCTATTACGGGCTGGAGCAGTTCTCCGGGTGGAACGATGGCAACTCGACATACGTCCAGGACAACTATAATGTGCCCTCCATCGGCGCGATCCCCACCAAGCGCGATCAGGTGCGCCGCTTCCTCGATGCGTACAACTCCGCTGCCGGGGATGCGGATGCGATATACGTCAACTTCTGCTCCGGCGCGTCGTACCTGGCGCTGCCGAGTCAAGTCGCGGGGGGCGTGCTGGCCATTCAGGTGTGTGCTTTCGGGTGTCGTATTCGGCTGCTGATGAATGGGATGTAGGGCGTGAACCCGTTTCTGCTCGGATATCTGGGCCACACGTTTGGCGGAATCACACGGCGCACGTCCGTCGTCATGATGGACTTTCCCGGCGGCGGGCTAATTGAGCGCATTCTCTCGTTCAATCCGTAGCGCAAAGAAACATAACTTAGTTATCTGCCTTTTTGTAAGATTTGTAGCTTTGGAATACTTGTTGTTTGGAGAACATAGCATACCCTCGGTGGCTTTTGCCTTGTGTAAAATTCCGCTCATGAAAAACCTTGCATTGACTCAAGTATATGTAAACCCCTGGTGTCAGTTCCACTCAAGTTCCACTGGCACTTCCCGGGCTGCGAGTCGATCGAGGATCCAGCGGGCAACCAAGAATCGAGATCAGTCTTGCTACTCAAGGGCTAGCGACAGGCTTGAGCGAAGACTCAGAGAGGGAGGTGTTCGGCGCTGTCTTGCGAGTGAACAACAAGACAACTTGAAACTTTTTTGTTTCCGTTTGTTGATGCAACAAATCAAACAGAAAGGGTTGAAGTTCAGTGGCACTAGGGCTTGGTTTTATAAAAAAAATTTGGCCTTAACAAACGGTTTGTAAAAAAATCTCCCTAAAACCCTGTTTATAAACCGGTTTTTAGGTTTTATAAACAGTTCAGGCTAAGCAGCTCAACTGTGCCTTATGCCATATAATTTTCATATATTTTTCAAGGTGAAATACTACTAGTAGTGGTCCTAGGTGAGGCCCAGAAGTTTCCCTTCAAATTTCAATATCTACTATCTCAGCTAAATTTTATAGTGTAGGATACTTTTGATGGCAGAGATGTCACACTTTGGCTGACTGTCACACTAGTGTCACATTTTTTACAAACACCCTCTTCCCAGAATGCCTGTTTATCTATATAAACCAAGCCCTAGGTTGAACAAACATTTTAAAACACCTATAATAGTTTTAATACAGTTTAAAATATATTCTGTCTTGCTTATCTGTAAAAATAACAGAAGGATGATATAATAATCATATTACGATCGATTTTTCTAGAGCTTTGAGACGTGAAACGTCACGATGGTGACAGATCCTTGTCACGTTTGTTGACGTTACAAATGTGACACCCTTCTTCTTCCGTTGACGTCCACCCATGCTCATGCCGTCCTCCGCCGTTCTGCATGGTGGGCGCGGCCGTCCCGTCAGCCTCCGCATACTTACGGCTCGCGATGGCTTAGGACGTGTTGTTCAGGCGCAGCCCGAGGCTAACACCAGTGTGCTTGCCTCCTCGTTCCCCCGTTCTGAGACCGCTAACTCACAAGCCCTACTAGGATACCGTTCGTATGAAAGGCTTGACTCTTGTCTGACCGAATCTTGATCCAGCGTCACCTTTGGTCTGCTTATACGTTTGAAGTTCGTGGTTTGGGAGCATCCCCGTGGGCGGGAGAGAAGGCTGGTCGGTCGGGCACGCGACGCCGTCCTCGGCGCGCCATGCTTGAAATTGGCGCATAGCCCGTGCGAAGCTGATTCAGGATGAACTTCCCGAGCGATGATGCCAGTGCGCGAACCGTCGGGAGCGTCGAGGATGAAACACTGGCAGGAGCCGGCCCCCGGGGCCCGGCGTGAATATATCGCCCCCGGAGCTACCGTGCGGCGACGGAAGCAAACTCGCCGGGGCCCTTGTTCAAAAGAAGATGCGCAAACGGCTGCCACCCTGGTTGCTCTGGATCGTCGCAGCCCTGTGTGGGAAGTAGGCGTGCCAGTGATTTTGCGCGTGGATGGGATTAGCAGCTGCGGCTTCTGGACCGCTGTACACTTACAGAGAGTGTGGCTTTTTAGTTGAACGCTAACTGACTCAATTTAACATGACGACGGCTCCGGACACATCGACGCCCATGTGTTTGCGACCACATCGAATCGCCACGACGCCAACCCGTTCATCCGTCCTTCAGCTCCTGATCGGCGATCATCATCAGGCGTCGGACATTGTCGCCCTCGATTATCTGTTCCACCCGATTTCCGAAAACAAAGCTGTAAACAGTCCACGCCCACCGCCGGATCAAGTGCGGAGATCGTCGGCCGTCGCCCTCGATTAGATAATATAGCGCAACCGCGCTGCCGGGCGAAAGCTGTCGAGCTCAACGCCCGCTATGCGCCTGCGTACAGCCCTCATCAGGTTCGCTGCGGTCTTCGACACCAGAGCATCAAGCTAGGACAAGACATATAAAACCATCATCCCCTGGCCGAATGTCCCAACAGTTTACACTCGCTCGAATGTCTTCCTCCACCAGTAATTGGTCTGGAGCTGCATCTGCTAGTAGCTCGAGTCGGACGCCCGCCCAGCCACCGGCACGCGGAACGTCTTCGCGGAGCGTAAAGGCGTGTGTTGCGTGCCGCCAGCGAAAAGTCAAGGTACGCATCCCTGTTCGCGCACCGCTTTTGCGATATAACGAAAACAGTGCAAACCAGACGAAAGCACCCCGCTCGCCCCGTGCGCGCAGTGCCGGCAACGTGGCCTCCCTGCGAAAACGCCGACCCGAACTTCAGCCCGCTCTTCCGGCCGATGAACCCCGCCGGCAGCGGCAGCGCGCCGGACCCGGGAAGGCGGCCCGGTACGCCCGTAGGCCGTAGGAGTGCCGCGACGCGGTCGTCCTCCGCCCCCGTTGTCTCTTCACACTCCAAATCGACTCCGTCGAGGTACCACCCGCCGCCTGACGCATACCCCTCGTTGCACATGCCGTCCACGTCCGAGCCGGCGTCTGCGCAGAGCTGGCCCGGGACGGTAGGCGGGTACTATGCAGAGCCTACACCGCAATATAATTCAGAACTTGCGCTCCCCGGAGAAGAGCTACAGAGTGGCTCCGCATTCGACTGGTACGACCCCGCACTGTATCCCGCTGGCCCGGGAGGGGCGTACCCGGATTTCGAATACGATGCCCAGTGGGCAGCCGGGGAGCCGTGGTCATCATCTGGTGGGGCCGCCGAGTTCACGTATGATGCATATTACGCGTCGAACGCGGGCGATTCGGGGGCCGGGCCAACTCAGGCTGGCAGTTCGCAGGGTGGATATTGACTACTGACTGCCCTCCTGGTATGAGAGAAAGAAGAAGTAATGGAATTTGGACCTTTATAAGCAAAATTTGTAGCAATGCGGACTTTTCATACATCAGGAAAAAGGGGGACTGATTATTAGTAAAGCCTCAAAATGCCTGTCACAAGTTCTTCAGTAGGCTTACACTACAAGTCCTTAATGATTTATAGTATAAATCATTTATACTTCAGAGCCAAAATGTTTCTTCAAGCTGTTGACATCCTAGTGCAGACATACATTTTGAGTGCTAGCATAGTCTTAGAAAAAAACTGCAAATTGGAAAACCCGAAATATTCTGCCCAAAAATGGGCCCGAAGTAGGATTTATTTCTGATAAATAGTGGACAATATATATATATATATATTACCAACTTAGAAAGATAACAAATAAACTTAGAAAGATAACAAATAAAACTCCGGGAGAGTAGACATGATTTGTAAGAAACTGGGGGTATATATTGAATTATCAGATTGGACTTAACTCAATGCTGATATCAGCTGACAATTTTGTGGCAATAATTTATAGCAAATAAATACACCTAATATACCACAAGATATGCGACCATATCTATCAAAAATTAGAAACAGTGTAAGGGCAACCCCGGAGGCCTGAGATCAAGGTCCTAGCAGGGGAGGATCCAAAGCGTGAACATTGGTAAGCAAATACAAATGAAGCTGACCTAGCAGGGGAGGATCCAAAGAGAAGAAACTCTAAGGGTCCGCCTGCTAGGGAGCTGACTATATACTGCTTGTTCGTAGCTGCCGCTGTCGGGCACAGAAGGCTTGGGCGGCGTCGCAGGCAAGGTCCCAGGGCGACCGTTGGGAGGGCGTTGACAGATCGGTGATTGTGCGGGCGAGATGGAGGGCCGGACCGGAGACGGAACCGGAGTCGGACCGGAATCGGAGGCGTCTCCGAGGGGCCGAAAGGGAGGTTCCCCTGACATCACCCCCCCCTTTGAATGCGGCGTCCCGACGCATAGACCGGAATGGAATCGAGTCGAAGGTTGCAGAGGCGATGTGCCGTGGTTTGCCAGGGTACTTACGATAGAACTCCGCGATTTTCTCCGGGGCGAAGACGCGGTCGAAGCGGACCCACTGGTCATGCGACGCGTCGTAGCCTTTCCATCTGACGAAGTAATTCAGCCGTTTATACCTCACCCTTGCGTCCAGGATTTCCTCTACTTCCCACTCCGGGACTCCGTCCTCGAGGTCCGGAGGGGGCTGGTCGTAGCCGGGGCGTCCGTCGAAGGGGTCGTCTTGGGCAAGCTCGAGCTTGACGACGGGGAAGACCGGGTGGAGCTTCGAGTAGCGCGGAGGGAGGTCGAGCTTGTAGGCACCTTTGCTGATCTCCGCGACTATCTTGAACGGTCCAAGGCGGCGATGGGAGAACTTTTCCGAGGGGCGAGTCGTCCTGATGTCAGAGGCATCCAGCCAAACACGGTCGCCAACCTTAAACTCCGGAGACGGAGTCCGTCTCCGGTCGTAGTAGCGCTTGTACTCCTCTTTGGCCTTAGTGAGCGCGGCCTTGGCTTCAGCAACACCAGTGGCGATCCGGTCGCGGAACTCGTTCACTGACTCCATGGCGGAACGGACTCCGGGTTCGAAGCCCATGCGCGGGAGCCGTCCCGTGTCCGTCATGAAGGGGACCTGCTGCGTGGAGGAGTGAACGTGGTTGTTGTAGGCGAACTCCGCGGCCGGAATCAGCTCATCCCAGTCGTCCTGCTGGTAGTTGGTGAAGATCCGCAAGTACTGCTCCAGCTCCTGGTTGACGCGCTCTGTCTGACCGTCTGTCTGCGGGTGGTACGCGGTGGACGTGGCGGGCTTGATGCCGATTAGACGCCAGAGTTCTCGGGTGAAGTCCGCGATGAACTGCGAGCCGCGGTCGGAGACGTACTTCTCCGGAGTCCCGTGATGGCGCCAGACATTCCGGTAGTAGAGGCGAGCTGCCCCTACTGCATCGACCGTCGTATGACACTCTGAGAAGTGGGCGCGCTTTCCGAGGGTGTCAACGACGACCATGATCGCGTCGTACCCATGGGCTTCGGGAAGCTCTACGATGAAGTCGACGGAGACG